CTTGGCTGTGATCGTGATGAGCCGTGTGGGTAAGTGCCTGGGAACAGACTCCCTGTGTCCCGGTCTCTGGGACTTGAGATTACGCCAGATCCGGTGTGCCCCACGTCTTGCTGCCCTGAGTTCTGCCTGAGGAACGCAGGATCGGGCCCTGTGTGATCTGTTCTCCCCCAGTGTCCCCTGTAGTCACTGGTCCCATGCCCCCTTTCACGGCCCGGGAAGTGTCCCATACACCGGATCCAGCCATCAGCTCCGGTGAGAGACTCCGAGCATCCAGGTGTGAGATCTTTCACTCTTATAGGGCCAAGTTCCACACACTTCACTTCTCAGTCTGTTAATGTAGCACCAGACAGTCCTGTCTGTCTCTCCAGCTGGGTGAAATATTTTCCCAAACAAAACGTCGTGTAGTAGAAAAGTGGCCTTTTTTCTACCTTGAAATTTGACACAAAACTGTTTATCAAAATCATTTTGGAAATGTTTCTTTTCTTGTTTATCAATTCCACACACCCCCTTGCTTCCTTTTTGATCACAATTCTTTCCCCTGTCCTCCTTTCAAAAAAAACCCAACCACCTTTTTCTTTCTGAAAATGATTTGCAAGAGAGGAAAGATGGGGAAGAAAAAAGTGGGGTGGGGTGGGGTGGGGAGAGAAGACAAAAATTAAAACCAAAAGTCACGTTAGAACATTTTAAAAATCCAGTGGGGGGGGAAATGTATTCCCCCGCCCCCTACTTGAATGTCTCCCTCCCACATAAAACAATAAATAAATAAAAAACCTGCTCCCCCCGTACAAGGACCCGCTCAGGGCTCATCCCTCCGCGGGGCTGTGGGGCACCACACCGCCTCGCTACGCCATTTTGGCTGGGTTGGGGAACACCCAGTCTGTGGCCCAGACCTAGGGTTACCATATTTCCACAATCAAAAAAGAGGACACTGGGGGGGGGGGGGAAGCCCCGCCCTAGCCCCGCCCCCATCCACTCCCTCCCACTTCCCACCCCCTGACTGCCCCCCTCAGAACCCCAACCCCCCCTGCTTCTTGTCCCCTGACTGCCCCAACCCTTATCCACTCGCATGGGTGGCAGGGTTGTAGAAATTTTGGTGGTGCCCAGAACCCCCCCCCCCACCTGCCTAAGGCTCTGGGAGGGGGGATGGGTGGGGGGAGGAGGTCTGGGGTGCGGGTCCTGGGCTGGGGATTAGGGTGCAGGAGGGGTGCAGGGTGCAGGTTCTGGGATAGAGTTTGGGTGCTGGGTGCAGGCTCCGGGCTGGGGCAGGGGGTGGGTGTGCAGGAGGGGGTGAGGGGTGCAGGCTCTGGGATGGAGTTTGGGGGTGGGAGGCGGTGCAAAGGGAGGGGGTGCAGGCTTTAGGAGGGAGTTTGAGGGCAGGAGAGGGTGTGTGGGAAGGGGGAGGGGTTTTGGGAGGGAGTTTGGGGATAGGAGGGGATGCAGGGGTGAGGGCTGTGGGTCTGAGGATGAGGGGTTCATGATCCAGGAGGGGGCTCAGGGCTGGGGCAGAGGATTAGGGTGTGGGGGGATGAGGGCTGGGACTGAGGGGTTTGGGATGTTGGAGAGGCTCAGGGCTAGGGTGGAAGGGCAGGGTAAGGGCAGCCTGTCTTCCCATTACTAGATGGGGGACACTAGGACCTGGGGGCAGCAGACAAGGGAGAGGCAGGCGGGGGGGGTCCACGGGGGACGGGACGCAAGGAGGGGGGCTGGCAGGTGGAGGCCGGGGACCCATCCAACACTCCCCCGCTCCCTGACTGCCCCCCTCGCCCCCCGACTCCCCTTACCATTCTGGCTCCATGTGTTTACAAAATACGCTGCCCGGTGGGTCGGTTTGTGTGTTACACAGGGCTGCAGACAGAGGGAGGGGGGAGCAGGGGAGGGCTCTGGCTGCTGGAGGCCAATGGGAGTGGGTCAGTTGGCCCAGCCGCCCAATCAGCAGCCGTACTCTGCATGGAAGGGAGGGAGGGAGGCGAGGGAGAAAAAAACCCCGGACATTTTAACCTTGTTACCAATTCCTCCCGGACGGCTATTGAGAGACGCAAAAGCCGGACATGTCCGGGGAAATACGGACGGATGGTAACCCTATGTAAAATAATGTCTGTTTCAGTGAGTTAAATATGCAGT